CCGCCATCCATCCCCTTGATGACCTTGCTGAGCTCAAGGCAAACCTGAGCATCGATCTCTCTGGGGCGGCACCGGCCAAGCAGCCTCACGAGTACAGCAACGTGCTGCTGACCGGGGTGACCGGCATTGTGGGCCGTTTCCAGCTTGCCTCGCTTCTCGAGAGGAATGTGGACGGCAAGAGACTCACCGTCCACTGTATCGTCCGTGCCAAGAACCACAAGGAGGGGATGGAGCGCATCAGGGAGGCCTGCGTGGAGGCCAAGATTTGGAAGGAGGAGTGGGCTGCTCGGATTGTGGTGCTGTTGGGCGACTTGAGCAAGGAGCTCTTTGGTCTGGGGCAGGAGAAGTTCTCAACTCTCTGCGAAACCATCGACGCGGTGTACCACACTGGCGCCAACATCAGCCTGTACCAGGCGTACAGCCGCGCGCGACTGGCCAACACCCTCCCCCTCCTCTTCATGATCGAGCTCTGCACCTGTGACCGCATCAAGCCCCTGCACTTCGTCTCCACGCTGGGCATCTTCCCGGCATTCGGTGAGTGAGGCAGAAGACACACACGACACGCAGTGACGCCGCCACACCTTCCATCCATCCATCCATCCATTCGTGAATTCTTTTTATCTGCTGTTGTGTTTGAACAGATTCCAATTTCACCAAGGAGTTTGCCGATGAGGAGCTCGTGGAGGGCGCCCCGCCGTCCATCGAGGACATGACCAAGGTTTTCCCGCCACAGCAGATGGGCTACCCCTGGAGCAAGTACGTGTGCGAGGAGGTGCTTAGGGAGGCACGTGACCAGGGGCTGCCAGTGACCATCTACCGGCTGCCCAACACCAACATGGCCATCTCGACTGGCTTCACGGGCATGTCCAATATCGCCACTGCCCTCATCATGAGCTACATCCAGGAGGGTGTCTTCCCGCAGTCTGCCAGCTGGGCCAACAACACCCCCATCGACATGGTCGCCGAGCTGATCGTCGCCCTCTCCTTCAAGGAGAACAGAAAGCACTGGTTCTACCACCTCGCCAACCCAGCCGCTCTCACCGAGTAAGCAAACAACGAGACACACAAGGGCATTGATTTCGCATTGCTCATGTGTCGTGTCGTCTCGTTTGCTTCCATCAGGTCGCAGCTGGTGGCTTGGACTGCAGCCTGGGGCCTGCCCATCAAGCCCGTGAGCTTCGAGGACTTCACGGCGGCCATCAAGGCGAGGGGCCCCGAGTCGCCAATCTTCAACCACGTGCCCGTCATGCGGCACTGGCAGAAGTACTGGTACGACGACGTCGCAGCGGAGCGCACAGAGGTCCCCATCCGCACATCCAATGCGTCAGAGGACATCGAGGTCAGCTGGCCTGGCGCCAAGGAGCTCATGGAAGCGTCCTTCCGCTACCTCATCAGCCAGGAGCTGCTGCCCAGTGATGCCAAGGCCCTCACCCTGGAGCCGAAGGCGCTGCTCGACATGGTTCGGCGACAGACGGGCCTAAGGCAGCTGAGTGGCGAGGAGGATGTGCTTGAGGCTGCTGGTGTCCTGATGGAGTCGGCACTCAAGGAGAGCCATAACATGACCTTCCTGGGCAAGTTCCTGCTAGCGCAGAGAGTGCGCCAGACCTTCTGCAACCTCCTGCACATGGCTGACAGGGCCCACACCCACCCCGCCATCCGGCGCCAGCAGATCAAGCAGCCCCTGTTCATTGTCGGCTTCGACCGAGTGTCGGTGACTCTCACGCAGCAGCTGCTGGCCTGCGATGAGGGCAACAGGGCGCCGACATTCAGTGAGATGCTTCACCCCTTCGGCGAGCATGGAGAGTTCGTGCAGGCATCATCCGAAGCGGTGAGTGAGGGGAAGAGAGAAGATGCTCAACCGACGAGTCCTATCCCTTACTTACCTCTTGCTGTCCTTCATGTCTTTGGGTGTATGTGTGTGCAGGATTGTCGCCTTGCACCAGCCCAGGTGGCCATGGACCTGATGTTTGGTTCCAACGACTACCTCAACCGCCTCGGCCCTCGCAAAGCCGACATGGCGTTCGACGACTCAATGATACTGCAAAACTCGCTGCGAGACAGTTTCCTGGCGACGCAATTCGACGCCCCCGAGTACGAGTCGTGGCTGTCAGACAACAGTGGGTCCGAGGCGCAGGAGGGCTACGCATTCCATAAGACCTTCCTGCAGCACCTGCAGTGGCAGCACGGATGCGAGCACAAGAGGTGGCTCCTGGCTTCGACAGACCATGTGGGCCACCTCGACGATATCTTGGCGACATACCCTGACGCTAAGGTCATCTTCGCCCACAGGTACGTAGGGGAACGCACAAGGAAGGAACGAAACGTATGTATGTTGATGGTCATCCTTATCATGTTGGTTGGTTTTTCTGCCTGCGTGTATGATGTCAGGGATGGGAGCGAGACGGTTGCTGGTCGGTGTCAGGAGGTGCTGTCCCTCCGCCGTGGCCTGATGAGTGTCGACGCATCCAAGGTGGCCGAGAGGGAGCTTCACCAGATGGCGACCAACGCCAAGGCCGCGGCTGACTTCAGGAGGCGCAACCCGCACCTCAAGGCCCAGTTCGCCGACGTGACGCTGAGTGACCTCTTGAAGAATCCCGTGGACCGCGTCAAGCGGCTGTACAGGAAGCTCAATCTCTCCCCCCTCTCCCGCCGGTCGTCCCAGGCCATGTGGAGGATGGTACTCGCCAACAGGAGCCGGCTGAGCGCCATCAAGTCGGTGCCCGCATCCATTGGTGACTTCGCCCTTGACGAGGAGGACCAGCGTTTTGACGCCCTGACCAAGGCCAGCATCAAGGGCAAGAGCTGCAGCAAGGCGCGCCGAAGCATGAACGTCGGGTGTGCGCCAAGCTTCAGGCGATAAGTGAGAGAGGGGCTGCCTGGAAGGGGACGATGTGTATAGAGGATCGAGACAGGCAGGGCAGAATGAATAAGTATATCTTTGGGGCCCTTGCGATGCATGTGGGTGTGTGGAGAGCGCTGTACAGTTTTGTGTGATGTGTTGTCGCATTGGTTGCGTCCATACCATTGGTCTTGATGGATGGATGGATGCAGTCTGTCTCATGCGAATCCTGCTCTATCTTTGTCGTCTTGTGGTGCTGTGTACTGACTGCATTGGTGTGGATTGCATGGTGTGTGGGCGTGTGTGTGTGTGTGTGTATTGTATTGTATGTGGTGTGGTATCTCTCTATCTCTCCTTGCTTAAAACGTACGTAAATACGCAGATGTACGTACCTACCTACCTACCGTGCCGTGCCGTGGCAGGCCTGGCCTGCATATGTGCTCTGTCTGCTCTGGACTTGTGAGTGAGATGTGTGTGTATCGCAGCGGCCAGTAAGCTGGAGGGAAGGAGGAGATCGATAAGTACGGGTACGTACGTACGTGACGTGCCTTGCTATGCTACTTACCTTACTGGCCTCGTCACGTCAATCAGTACGGTACATTACACTGCATTGTATACATGTGTGCATGGATCGGATTGCCGGGGGGGGGGGG